TAGGCATATTATATGACCAAGTTGAAAGTAGTTCTAAACAAAAATCCAATTTATCAAGGTCATAAATATGAATTACATTTTGAAAATAGCAGTGAAGTTAGACTGGTATGTAAACATAGGTTTTACAACACCCCATAACATTAATTTTTTTAAAAAAATCTTTTTTCCTTTTTCTTTTATAGTGCACTGATACTGATTCCTTGGCCAGTGAATTGAGCTTCGAATTTGTTACATTTGAAAAACTACTTGGCATTGATAAAGACACTCATATTGGTAATTGTGATTTCTAATAATGTATTTTTAATTTTTAATTTTTTATTATTAATATTATGCATATTATTTTAATAGATGCTATTGGTGTAGTTAGATTTATTCATGAAATCCTTGAGGTTTCAACAAAAAATGGTCAAAAAACGGTATTTATCTTTAATATATATATATATATATATATATATATCGTTAAAAAGTTTCTTTTGTTAATCTTTGAAAGTTCATCAATTGATTTATTTTCTTTTATTTTGGTGTTAAATTATTTGTAGCTTCGAAAACGAGAAATCGACATAGTTGACAAAAGTGGTTACGAGGTTATGGCAACAATATGGGGAAATCTCATTGATAATTTTGAATGTACTATTGGTTCAGTAATTATTATTAAATCTGCTCGTGTTAGTGATTTTAGAGGTTCAAAATCTTTAATAATATTTTATGCATGTACCATATGTTTATTTATTTGCAAGTGATTAATTATTTTTATCTCCTCAGGTAAAAGTTTATCAACAACAAACAGCACTGTTCTGATTACAAATCCTTCATTACCAGAAGCAACTGAGTTATCAGAATGGTATTACTGATTATTAATTTATTTATTGGCTAATGAATTGATTGATTATATATAATAATTTTTAAATTAATTAAAAATGTGTTCATATTATTGTTTTTTAGGTATAGTACAGGTGGATCTCAATTAGAATTCAATTCATTAGCAGGTCAAACAGGTGGATCGATCAACATAAAAGAGGCTCAAAAGTCATTAGAAGAAATTAAATCCGATAAAACTTTAGGATATAAAGAGAAAGTAATAATTTTTATATGAATTTATATATGTGTTTGTGTGTTTTTATGCATCTAGCTTTAACTTCATCTATATATTTATTTCCCAGCCTGACTATTTCACTGTCAGGGCTACTGTTGCTTACATACATAATAAAGGCAAAGAACTTATTTATCCTTCGTGCAGTATTTGCAAAAAGAAAGTATTTGGAAGTGACAATAATTGGAGTTGTGATAGATGTTCGAAATCATTTGAAACTCCAACCTACAGGTATAATGTTGCTTGCTAATTTAAAATTTTTTTTAAATATTAATATTTATTGATGTTGTTTGTTTCGTTTGTTTGTTATAGATATATTTTACCAATTCGTATAACTGATCATTCAGATAGTGTATGGATGAATTGTTTTGATGAAACAGCTGCATTAATTCTGGGCATGCCTGCTGATGATTTCCGTAAACTTAGAGTAATTGTTTATTTATATCATATTTTTTTTCTATTAGTTAACTAATATTTTTAACATTTTTATTAGGATGTTGATCCTTATGCTTATGAAAATCATATAAAAAATCGATTGTGGGAGCCTTACATATTTAAAGTTCGTACTCAGCTAAAAACTTTTAATGTAAGTATTAAATACTATAGCAATTATCATAATAATTATATAAATAAATAAATATAAATATAAATGTGATCATTTTATTTTGTAGGAGAAGACTATTATAAACAATAACTTGGTGGCTATTTCAGAAATTGATTATGTAGCTGAGACTAGCCATTTATGTGAAAAAATAAATGAATTAGAAAAATTGTAGTTTTCTTTTTATATGTATGTTGTTGATGGATGTTTTTTACTTTATGAATTTAATTTTTTAATTCGAAATAAAATTTATTATTGCTAATTTTAATATAATCATTTAAGTGATTGATGTACGTGAGTGATTAACAACGTTTTTCAATTAAATATTATACGCAATCGAAAGTATTGCCTCTTTTCCCCCTCTTTTCTTGCTTTGATGGTGGTGACAACAAACATTTGTGAGATTTAATCTAAATAAATCATAAATAATAAATCATTTTTAATTATAAAAATCATTATAGTCTTCGTATCTAATGTTAATTATTATTCTATATTATTCTAACAAAGCAGTAAATTCCATTTCATAAGATTCAATATCACCGAAATCTACTTTTTTTTAATATATTGTCTTGCTCTATTTATAATATTTTCAGTGACAATCAATGATTAAATTTCTCTAATGCATTATTAGTATTAGGATCTTGTGAATCCTAATACTTTAAATGAAGTTTTTTTTTGTCAATTTATGAAACTTTAAATTCCCCAAAATCCAAATGAAACCCTTCGAAATCACCACCTTCTATACAGATACGCCCCAAAATTTGATATTTCTCTAGCAACAGTGATAGGAATTTTCAAAGAATGTAAATGTCTTAAAAGATTAGGTAGGTTTCTTCAATTGCGAGGAAATGACTCTCCAAAATATTTTATTTGGCAGCAAAAGGAAACTTGCCAAAATTGGAGGTGTTGGCGATTGCTGTTTATGATGAGTTTTCATTTGACGTTATAAATAGGAATGATTAAAACTCGCACACACAACACTTTGAAAAGGGTTTCTTTGCCTATGGCAACTCCAGATAATGGCATTATTCATGTTAAATCCGTCCATTTTTACTTCTGTGTAAACAAACAACTTTATAATTTTCCAGCAATACTATAATTAGGAAAATATTAATATTAAGCAAAATTGAAATCTTATTATTATTATTATTATTATTATTATTATTATCATCATCATCATCATCATCATCATCATCAGTTATTTTTTACCTAATCTGGAGTCTTCTGGCAACGTACACTTAATTTTAAATTAATGCACGAATTTATTTCAATCAATTCTTTTATAAAAATGGAAAAAGAAAATGATAATGATGATTGTATAAAAGTAGTGACAGATAAAGATGAAATATCAGAAAATAATATTAAAAACCAACTACAAATTATATAGATGTTGTTGATGCTATTGGACAACAAATTATAGTTAATGCACATAATAGATGTCCCATTGATGAAATAAAGTATAGTTCTAATCATAAATTTTTAGTAACCCATAGTAAACAAGATGAATCTATTACTGGATGAACAGTTAATCTTGACCAAGGAACAATTCAACGAGATAGCCAAGATAACTATTTTAAAACTAGATCATGTATAATAGATGTTTCAGATGGTAAATATATGCTTCTTCTTGTATGGAGTGGTTATTATAGTAAGTAAATATGATTATTTATTATGAATATCATATTATTTATAAGCAATAATAATAATATAATTTGCATCATTTAAAACTAATTTTATAGAATTACAATTACTTGACTTTTCAAAAAAAAAATATTATTATTATCCATTTGATGGTAAATTTGGAGGTTTCATTACAAATAATGATTTAATAATGAAGAGATTGTATTGTTTATACCATTATTCAGATATAAGTAATGTTAATAATGAGAATGATAAGTTAAGTTGGTTCATAAATCAACATATTGCATTTACAATTACAGTTATTTAAATTTTGATTATCTTCTATTAATTGATAAGTTTTCATTATTATCACTATGGAATCCAACAACTATATCATATCAACATAGTTGTTATTTAATATGTAGAAAGGATCATAATGATGTAGTATTTAATCAAGACAAAACAATAATGGCATTATATAATAAAAATACTTCAAAAATAATAGTTTATTCAATAAGAAATAGTATTATTTCTTCATGTAAGTATTATTTAGCCTCCTTTCTTTTTTTTTTATTTATTTGTTTATTTATTTATATACTATGTATATTTCTATCTTACAGTTGAATTGGAAAAAAAATACCACTGTTAAAAATTAGATTTTGTGGTTATAAAGAGTCAATTAGAATGTTTATTATATGATATAAATACAAATAATTACATTTATAAATTAATGGATCCTTATGATTTAGGCAACTATATAGAAAATACATATGAAGATAAAATGATATCATATTTGGGCCAACCATATCAGATAATGAAATAGTCATGGCTATTAACAATCAAATTTACATTAAATAAATTATTAACAAAGAAAAATTAGACACTGTTCAACAAATATGTATAAAAAATAGGTATCATTTATATTTACATATAGGACAAACATTATGTGAAATACATGAAATACTTGAGGATTATGAAAAAAGAGAAATTGGTATTAAAACAGGAAAAAACTATATATTAAGTGGTCAGTAGAGTATGATCATGTTTTACAAAATACCAATATAAAAGCTCAAAAATTGATAATAAAATAAAAGAGGAACCTCCAATAATTGGTGAATATGGTCTCAAGACTTCAGAAAGATTTAAATATTGTAAATTACTAAATAATGATGATTTAATTTTAATAACAAGCACATATATATACATTTTGTCATTTAATAATCAACATTATAAAATAGTTATAAAGTATATTATTAAAGAAGAATATAGCTACATAGGAGGACTTTGTATTAACATGATTTACAATGAAAAAGAAATATCGAGAAAAATTAAAGCAGCTATAGAAAATAATAATATTGAAGACTATTTATTTAATTTTAATGATGCTACTCAATATGATTATTCCGGACAACCTCATAAAGAAATGATTTTATATATGTTGGATGATTTATATAATTTCAAATATGGAGAAAAAATTTTAGGATTAGCATTAAATGTAAATGATAGCATTGTTGTAGAAAAATTATTTGATTCCCGTTTTAAATATTTTAAAAAGGATGCTGCAACAAATATGAGCTTATTAAAAATAATTATATCAGAATCACCAAGATTACAAAAAAATTATCAAAAATTATCAAAATTATTTAATCAAACTTCAATGATATTATTTTCCACTTAATGATGGCATTTATCACGAGGAAATTTTTTATAATGCAATGGTTAATGAAAATTTTATTTATAAGGTAAAAAGCTTTTGAGTTTTTTTAAGTTCAAAAAATTTAGGATATTTGGAAATTTTAGGTTTTTACACAAAAATCATAATAAAGATAATACTAAACATTGTGTAAAATTGATAATTCCATATCCTAGATTACTTACATACAAACCCAAATATTCACTATTACTATTGAAAGAATTACTATATAAGCCAGATAATATATATTTGTTGAATTAGTCAAATTGGATACTTTAGAATTATACAAGCATTTGAATAGTGAACTAATTTTGGATCATAAATGGAACACTTTTGGATTTGGATATGATATTGGAATATTGATTTTTTACATAGTGTTTTTATCAAGCTTTGTTATTGCAACTTCCACTTCACCAAATCAATTATCTGATAATAATAGAAATTTATTATTAACCACAACAATTGTCCTTGGGGAAATTCATCTCACAATAGAAGTCAAACAATTTATCTGGAAACTATTAAAATATATCACAAATTTCTGTAATTACTTTGGTATGATGCTACTTTATTATTATCATTTTATTATTTGTTAATTAATTAATTATTGTTTATTTAATTAATAGACCTAGGTGCCTGTTCCTTAGCAATTATTACTTCAATTCTATGGTTACATTATAATATTCCACCACCACAAAGTACTTTTATAAGATTTCTAAATTTTTTGTAATTACTACAATAATTATTGAAATTATGGAATTATATACAAAAGCCAAGATATTATTTATATACAATATATGTATATTTAAATAATTTGCTTTTCTCCATTATAACGTGATTTTATCATTAATAGAATAAAAAACAGCATTTATGCTTTAGATTTGAGACATCTGATAATTTTTGACAAATTGAATTTTATTTAACTAAGTTACATTTTTAATTTTTAAAAAGTTGTTGGAAAGTTTTAGCTGCCTTTGCTATTCCTGAAAAAAGTTGATTGTCAGTAATTGCCTTAACAGTGTATGCAAGATTTAAAACTTCTTCACTGGTTCTTTTTTGATTTTAGGAAAGGATAAAGTCGCAGGAAGATGGCGAAATTCAAAAATTTGCTCAAGTTGTCAAAATCGAAAGGTCTAGCGAAATTTGAAATTAAAATCAAAATCAAAAAATCGAAACTGAAATTGAAATTAATTTATTAATTTGAAAAATTCAAAATCAAAATTTACATGAAATCAAATGATTTTATTATTAAATCATATTGAAAAAAAGTTATTATATATGTATCTTCAAATCATAATCCATTGCTTCAATTCTTCTTTCTGAAGTACTTTCATTAATGACAGTATTTTTCATTTGTACCAAAAATTGGATCTTTAAATTTTTGTTAAAAGATAAATTATAATCAGTGCTTGACTATTTTTACTTTTGCAATTTTCAATAAAAACCTACAAAGTGAACATAAAATTATAAATATAGGGATAACTGATAATCATTATGTTTATGACCATTGTATTTGTTATTTTTTAAAAATTCAAAGTTAAAAAACAAATATAGATTTCTTTTCCGCAGAGACATAACAAAAACTAAAGCTCTAATTTCCATAAATCCCCAATACCTCCTCTCTTCTATCGGAATCAGAATCGTCTATTTTTGCCAATGTTGCATCCAGCCAAATCTCTGATATTACCCATATTAATATATTCATTTTTATATAATGCCTTTTTCTTGTGAAACATAAAAATTTATAAATAGGGCAAAAAAAAAAAATTCAAATAAAATCAAAATGTTGATAGCTGAAAAATTTAAACGTGATGAATTTTCTTTTTTACAACAAGTCGTACACATTTTAGATAAAGTTGAATCTAGTCAAGATCCTCAAGAAGTTAAAATTATTGTATATTATTATTATTATTAATTTCATAAAATTGGTTTTTAAAAAAGCTATTAACAAAATTGTCTCTACCATGATAAAAAATATTAAAAGGTGAATAAACTTAATGATAGATTTAAAAGATGTCATAGAATACTAGATGAATTACCCGGTTCAGATTTATCAAGAGAAGAACAAGAGCAATTACTTAAAGAAGAAAAGGCAATTTTAGAAGAAAGAAAGTAATTCATTTATTTTTATTAAATTTTTTATTTTGAATTATCTATTCTTTTTATAACATTTATATTTATTTATTAAAATAAATAAAGAGCAGCAAGACATAGATATGAAAATCTTGAATTTTTAAAATCACCAAAATGAATTTTTAGTGTAAAAATATTTAATAGAAAAATAAACCTCTTTTTGCACTTGAGCTTTTCCCAATAAAATTATTGACTTAATAATTGCATCTTTACAGTAATAAGAATTGGGTAGAGTTTTATTTTTTTAATGTTGTTGTTTTACCTTAACCGATTGTGAATGCTACCTTTTGAGAGCACATTTGCAATTTCTTTTTTTTTTTTGAATCAAGATTTTAAAACATTATATTATTTCACTTTTTTTCTACTTTTGTATTTGCTATGAATACAATTTGATACTTTACTCTCATCTGATTTTTATTAATATTAAAGAGCTTTTTTTAATAACTCATCAGGACTCGCATTTCTTACCTAAATAGTATTGCAAATTGTAAAATGGCAAGTATGAACCAAGACAAGTGAATAAGCTTCTAATAACCACTATCTAAATAAAAAATTTCTGCTTGGCCTAGAAGTTGACAGAGTACGAAGCACTGATCATGACTAATAATTTCTAATCATCCTTTGTTGTTATATAAATTGAACAAATAATACAAAGTAATATATATTTTAACTTATATAGTCCGAGATGCAAATGCCTAATTACTCAATAAGTCTTTGCCTTTTATTTTAATGACGAATCTTTTCCTGTATTAGTATGTACAAAAAAAAATCAACAGATAAATGGATCTGCACTAGTGATGATCTGACAAAAAAATTTACATTAATAATAGTAATGGCCTCAAAAACATTTATAGTGACAGGAGCTTCGAGAGGAATTGGTAGATCAGCAACACTTTTCATGGTAAAAAATTTTCAAAATAATATATTAGCAATATCACGTTCAAAGGATGATTTGGCGAATTTGAAACAGCATGTTGAAGTGGATTTAAATTTAAAAAATAAATTAGAAATTGTGGTTGGAGATGTTGCAGAAGAAGCTATTATTGATGAAGCGATCAATAAATGTCTAAATAAATGGAAACGAATTGATGGAGTTGTTTCTAATGCAGGGTGATAAATAATTGAATGATTGATTATATTATTTGTCTCGAGTTTTATTGATTTCATTGATTGATTAAATTTATCATTATTATTGTCTTCATTTCTATGCAGTGTTATTGAGCCACTTGGTAAAATTTTTGACACAAATTTAGAAGATTGGAAAAGGTATGGTGGGTTTTATTTTATATTTTATCCCTCCAACTAAAGCTGGCATCTGTAACTGATTCGAAATTCTGCAACTGAATACAACTTGTGCTGCAACATTTATACAGCTAAATTCTGCAATCGATTGCAACCTCTTAATTACAGACACCAATTTTACCCCAAATAATAATTATTTAATTATTTAATTTAATAATAATTAATATTAATTATAGATGCTTTGATGTGAATTTCTTTTCGAACGTATTATTAATTCAAAAGATTTTACCTCATTTACGCGATACAATTAAAAATGGAGGAAATGGTGGCAATATAATTTTCACTTCATCTGGTGCTGCTGTGAAAGCTTTTTATGGTTTGGGAGCATATTGTTCGTAAGTTTATATTAATATGGCTTAAACTTATTATATCAATGCTGATATACAAGCGATATTTATTATATACATTACAAATATATTATAAATATGTACATACATTTTAATAATTAGATCGAAAACAGCTTTAAATATGTTGGTTAAAACTTTGTCGATTGAGGAAGATATTATTACATCGATTGCAATCAGACCAGGTGCAGTAAACACTGCAATGCAAAAAATTATCAGAGAGAAAGGTAAGAAATCAATTTATTCTTTTGAGAAAAGAAATTATTATTAAAACAAAAACAACAACTACTATAATTATAACGAAAATTTTTTTTAGGTGATAATACTATGTCCAAAAATGATCATGAAAATTATGTAAAATTATATGAAGATAATGAATTATTATCACCTGATGAACCGGGATATGTTATATCTTCATTAATTAATGGTAACAAAAATGAGATTCATAAGTTCAGTGGAAGATTTATTAGTTGGAATGATGAAGCGTTAAATAATTTTAACAACAAATAGTTAACATTTTATTGTAAAACAATTTTTGTTTTTGAAAAAAAACCCCAAAAATAAACGTATTTGTATTTTGTATAAAAAATTTTATTAATAAGAAAAAAAATAGAAAAAAAGAAACAATTTTAATAGTCATAATAATAATAATAATAATAATAATAATAATAACAACAACAACGATAAACAAAACAAAACATTAAATTAAATTTTTATAGCTATTAAATAGCTGCTAAACTAATTTGTTGAAGAAAGAGAAGGATTTGTTGATTGTTAATAATTCGATGTTCCCAGTGGTTAGCTAACTGGTATTGTAGAATTGTCATTATCATCATTGCCATTGCCACTGCTACTAAGATTACTATCACTATCATTATTATTTGTATTTTTTGGCAAAGGTTCCCATGCCTTGAGTTTAAACCTGGGACTTTTAAATGTTTGAATCATTTTGCTGGCTTCCTTTGAATTTTTAAAGATTGCAAGAACTGTAGGTTGCCGTTTATTTGATGCATCGTTCATCTTTGGAGAATTATCAATACGTTTAATAGTTGCATTCGTCAATGTAATACCTGTTAAATTGTCTGATACTGCAAAATCATAAAGTTCAAGTATATGACTTGGTTTTGGCGGTTGTTCATTAGCTAAATATTAAAAATAATAAATTAAATACTATTTTTTTATTTTTTTATTATTATCACTATAAAAAAATTATTTTAATGTTAATGTTGTTAATACTTATTGTTGGTACCTTGATTAGGTTTAATTCCTTCGTATGGTACTTGTAAAGTGTAATCAAACAAAAGCGAGCTTTCTTTCTTTTTATTATTATTGTTATGATTATTGTTATTGTTGTTGTTGTTAGTGCTATTATTATTGAATGGAGGAGTAGATGAAGCTTGATTTTGGTGATGGATACGATTTTGTTGGTGACTATTTGAAGAAAGATTAAGCGATCTTATCATACTACCGTCAAGTATTGAATTAGCATTAATGCTATTAATGCTATCAATATTATTGTTATTATTATTGTTAATATAATTGATATTGTTTTTATGATTTTTATTTTTATTATTGTTTTTATCATTATTATTGTTGTTGTTGTTATTATGATTATTATCATTACTATTTTGTTTTTTACGTGAATGATTATTATTGGAATTTGTATTTTGAGATAATATTGTCATATTAGGAATATTAGTACCAACTTTATTGCCAACTTGATCCCCAACCCAATTAGAAGTAAATTTATTTAAAAGCGATGATGGTATCTGTGGAGTTGCTGATCTTGATGAATTGGTATTTGAAGAATTAACGATAAAACCTGTTGATAATGGCGATGCTACTGTTGATGATAACGATGATTGTGGTGGTGGATTGTTTGGATCAAATAATTCTGTTGACTTCGGTGGTCTAATTGCACCAATATTTGCCGGATGTGGTTGTAGTTGCAATGATGTTTGTTGAGGTGGAAATCCCATCATTGGATGTGGAACTAAACCCATATGTTGAAAATTTACAGGTATTTGTTGTTGTTGATGCTGTTGTTGATTATTATTACTGTTATTGTTATGACGTGGAGATAGATTTGACATTTGTTGTGGTCCCATTAAACCTGGAAACATAAATGGTGGCATTAATGAAATTGGTTTATTTTCATGAATAGGAGTAGTTATTGGTTTGTTTAGACTATAATTATTACTGTTGTTGCCGTTATTATTGTTATTATTATTACTATTACTATTTCCTTCACTTCCACCGCCAGGTTGTGTAGAAATAGATGGATTAATGATATGATTTGAATTTGAAAATGTAGGGCCGTGAGATTGAACATAAGGAGGTGGTGCTCGATATTGATTCATATGTTTCATGTAAGGGCTTGACATGAAATGATTAGGATGTATATCATGTGGCAGCATGGCTTGCTGTAGAGGAAACACGTTGCTATTAATATCATACATGTTCACATGTGGTGGTGGTGGTGGTTGTTGTTGTGGTGGATGGCCGAAAGATCCCTGCATAATTGGAAGAGGACCAGAAGAAAAATTGTTCATGGGGTGATGTCCTTGTTTTGACATATTGTAAAATTGTCTATCTATTAAGGGACTATTATAATTATATATTTGGAGATGGGAGGATTGTTGTTGTTGTTTTTGCTGTTGTAGTTGTAGTAGTTGCTGTTGCTGCTGTTGCTGCTGCTGCTGCTGTTGCTGCTGCTGCTGTTGTTGTTGTTGTTGCTGCTGCTGCTGTTGCTGCTGTTGTTGTTGTTGTTTATTTTTTGAATTAATTCCATTATTTTTATTTGGAGAATTTTTATTATTTTTATTTTGTTGTTGCTGCTGCTGCTGTTGTTGTTGTGAATTTTTATTATTGTTTTGTTTATTTTGATTATTGCTATTTTTATTTGACTTTTGATTCGTCTTTTGTTTATTAGGAAATGATGGATTACCATTAGTTGCCTCATTACTTTTTATATTATTATTATTATTATTATTATTATTATTATTATTATTATTATTATTATTAAGATTATTATTACTACTATTGTCTTTAATACAACTAGAATTTAGAACTATTGAACCTTCATTATTTTCTTCCAGTTGACCGTTCATAACATTTGGTTGATCAAGATCTTTAAATATTCTTGCTCTAGCTTTTAAATAGGCTGCCTCTCTTTCTTCAATGGATAGAATTTTACGTTCTCCCGCTTCACAATTATTATTATCAGGATCATTTGGGTTTATGGATCTTTGTTGTTGTCTTCTCATAATTTTCACTGATTTTTCAGGTTTTTCGTCGTCTTCTTGTTCAAGAAGGTCTGAAAATCGAAGAATCGGTCTAAAAAAATTTGTCATTAATCAAAATTATTATTATTAACTTGGTGTGATAATCATTGAACTATATATGAGGAAGAATAGTTAATAAACTTACATTTGTGTTTCGATAGATTTGTATAACACTACTGCTTTACCACTAGTGTCTACTACGTGAGATAATTTAAAGTACTGTGCAACACGGTGAATGATAAGTCTTTGGTAAGAATTCATTGGTGGAAATTCTAGTCGTGAACGACTATAATAAATAAATAATAATAGTAGTGGTCGTAAGTAAATAGCAACGATAATAATAAAATAAATTTATATATATAATTCTTTACTTTTCATCAATGATAAACCGTTCCATTTCTTGATCTAATTTCAAAAGGAATAGTCTATCCTTGGGACTTTTAAGAGCTGCTAATAAAAAACCATCAAGTCCAGTATTAAAATCTATTTCATTCAGATGTGCACTTTGCTCTGGTGTCAGCTCATCATCATCATCAAGAAGATGGTTTGGAGTTGGAGATGAGGAAGGTGATCTGATTGGGGTTTCCATTATCTCAAATGTTGTTGTTGTAAAACTAGCACTAGTTCCGTTACCATATTCTGTATTATTATTATTATTATTATTATTATTGACATTGTTAACTATTGTATTGGTGTGCATCATCTAAAGACATTATGTATTATGCCAACACACGTTTATATTTTTTCAATTTTACCGTTTTAATAAACAAGTAATGAAATGATATTACCCTAAATTAATTATACTACTACTATTACTATTACTAATACTAATTATACTAATTATACTAATATGCATAAAAATAACCCCAAATTATGGCCAAGTAAACAGGGTCCATCAGTTATTAATATTTAATGATCAACAAAAAAGTCGGAAATCCTGTTTCGTTAGTATTAGTATTAGTATTAGTTCTTCTTCCTTATATAATAATATAATAATTTGACAATCGACGAGTTCCCTTATTTTGGCAACTATTGATCTTATCAATTGATTGCATTCAAATGCCCTAATTAAAATCAGTCAGCTATAGTTTTATTTCTCTCGATCATAATAGTAAATGCCCCCTTTCCTTCACTTTCCCTCCCAATTTCGCCATTATTGGTCCCAGCTCACTCCGGAGTGTGGTCGCTTCGGGTTGACTCCTTTCAGTCGTCAATTCCCTTCGTAATTTTCTATCAAAAATTCACTGGTTGATAGACGTTTTGCGAATTGAATTTACTTAATATTAATATAAAAACATAAAATTCGTAACACGATTAGTAACGAATTTTAGATGCAATTTTTTATATGTCTCATAGATTCGTTGAAACAAGGTTTGACTGTATTAATTTTAATATAATAAACATAATAATATCAATTTAAAATTCCTTATTAATAAATTTAAAAAACATTAATATGTAATAGTAATACAAATTCTTATTCGAATTATTCGTTTTATTCAAATAAACATTCAATGTATTTCAAATGCTATCCTATTAATATTAATATGACAATAAAAAAAATATAGGAGCCGGTTTGATTCGAATACTTTAAAATCCAACCTGATTCGATTCGTTCGGTGCTTTATATGTAATTTTACTCTAATCATTATATCCGTTTTATTGGACATGTTATTTTTGGGATCATATCTTCTTGGTCACCAGTTTAAAAGAAAATGATATAAAGAAATATATACAACTAGAGATGGGCAGATCAGTACTATATGTATAATAATATACGTATAGTGATGCATATAGTGCGTATAGTTCTAGAAAAATATAGTAGTAAATGTAAATCAATTCCTGTTTAGGTTATTGTCAAATAATAGATGTAATATGATTCTTCTCATGATATATATATTTTAAACTTACCTGCAATTTGGCAACATTTTAATATTAACGTTCCAGTTCAATATCTAGATGTGAAAAACATTTACGTCTTTGTCCAAATGCCACAATTCATATTAAAAGAATTATTTTGGAGAACATTTTAATACTTCAAATACTAGTAGCATACAGATAAATTACAACATAATTGAAAATTTCATCAAAGAAGCTGATGAAAATTTTATTGAAGAATCAAATAAAAATGAAAGCAGTTTGATTTTTATGATATTTAATTCATTCAATATAATTAATGATTCATAAATAAAACCTAAAAAGTGTAGGTTGAATAAATTAAAGATTTATGCTTATTGTAATAGCCAAATTATTTTTTTTTTCTTCTTATTTGAAAATCACCCAATCAAATTTCAAACTACTATATGTACTATATGTACTATATGCACTATATGTAAAGTATCATATAGTGTCATATAGTGTTCAACTATACGCCATTTGCCCATCTCTATATACAACTATACTACTTGAGGCGTCCCTAAATGCCAAAAAAATGCATCATTGATGATGTCATAAAAGGAATTGATTGTCAATAATCGGGCCCTGGTTCCCAATTTACTGTCTCACAATATGTTGTTTGTTAATATTTATTTGTTTTTGCATTGTTACCTTTTTGCTTTTATACAATATCCCAAGTATCTATATTAAGGCTCTGAACAGAACAGAACAGAACAGAACAGATTTGGAAGAAATCCGATCTGTTCTGTTCTGGTTTTTTAAAATATTGAATCTGATCTGATCTGAGACATTATGTATAAATAATAATAATAAAATTTATGAAAAATCATTTATGAAAGAAATTATGAATAAAGAATTTTATCAAAACAGATTGCAATTTAATAAGGTCTTATCTGATCTGATCTAATCTAGTTTTGATCTGATCTATTCAGAGCCTTAATCTACATAAATGTGGAGCGATGTTTATAGTCTTTTACATGGCATAGTGATTGGCAATTATTGTGAGATTCTTTGTCATGATATATACAAATGACTGGTATGTTTGTTTTACATGATTATTATTAATATTAAATAACTATAAGAAGTGTCAGAAGATAAAAAAGCAACATGACCATTAGAGATCTCTCTTTTTCTTATGGGTCAGTTGAAATTAAGAAAAAGATAGCAATGATCCACTTGGAAATCCAAGAGGATTTGGACAGTTGTATTAATATGGAACAAGAGACTTAAAAATGGATAGTACATTTCTTGTCTATCATCTGTGTTCATATTCATTATAATGGCCCAGAAAATATTACATATGAAATATGCCATCACTGAATCAACCTAAACATATGAACTGATTGATTTACACTATGCTTCAAAGGAAGCTAAATATCTTCAAGATATTGCAAACATGCAATCCGAGTTACTTACTTACTAGATAGTCCTTATTTCTGGCATATGGCTAGGTCTTACTTGCCCCCGAATTATAGTTGATGCTTCTTTTATCTTACAATCCCTAGTCTGGATAAAAGACCCCTGATTTATTGTGTCCACTTATATTCCATGGCTTTTCTTCTTCAACTATGCAAAAACTCGTAATGGGTTTATTCTATTATTAACTATATGTTGTTTAGACACCTGCTACAATTAGTTATTTGCAGCGGTGGTAACTATCATATGGGGCATACTGCAACAAAACCAGACAAAGTGAAAATTTGTATATTAATATTAATATATTACCAAGAATTTCAGGGATTAAAACTTAGTCATCATGACAACCCCATTTGTTGTCTTTTCTGTATCTTTAAATATATGGAATTACTACTACATAAAATAATTAATATGAAATTCATCTTTCATGATGACAAATATTATTAT